TTTTTTTTTTTTTAATTTCACTATTCACTTGCGATTATATTAGGGGTATTCTCTGAGTCTTGCAAAGCCCTTGCACGGTGCACGGATTGCACGGTTTGCAAAGCAGTCCCATACGAAAACCGGTTTTAACCGTGCAATCCGTGCAATCTGTGCACCATGCAAGGGCTTTGCAAGACTCAGAGAATACCCCTATTTATTTTGATTTGTTTCTGTCAAAGCAGCTGATTAAGAACTTCGAATTTCACGTTTTTAGCTGGCAGCGCCGCTGATAGTTACGATCGGATTACAGCATATCAATTTTCGAATTTTCGGAACGGTGAACATCAGGAGTTGTTTGTTTTAGCGTTACTCTTTTCTTTTCTCGCTAAAACATTATTCTTGAATTTATTTCAATAAATAGAAAACAAGGCAACAAAGAAACAAGTACAATAAAGGAATAAATCAATTATCTCAACAATTTTAGCCTTAAAACTTATTATTTAGGCGTAAAAGTTTCGAAATTACTAATTTTTACCGCAAAGATTTTCATTAAATACTTTGTCAACTTGAGAAGTGAAGTTTCAAGAGTTTGCCACTGTGTGCTTTATGTACTGTAGCCTTATCCTGTTGAAAATTACAATAAGGGTACTCATCGATTCTCGCAAGTTTCATATTTGGGAAATTAGGCAATTTTGCGCAGTGTGTTTCATGAGGATAATTTTATATTTTGTGCAATTTCAGACATTTAATCATTTGACAATGTTAATTTAAAAAGTTGAACAATTGAAACTCGAATTTAAGAAAATATTTAAGTCTTACGAAAAAGCGTTGAGCACAATTCAAAATGAAAGTAAACAAAATAGTTAATTGAGGGTTGCACATCACACTGCGCAAATTTGCGCATACAAAATTTCCGCCCAAACTTGCCCTTCTTGTGCAAATAGGTTTGTTCGTCGAGCAAACAACGAATTTGTACGAATTATCATGATTTTTGCACAAATCGCGTTCGTGCAGACCAAAAAATTATCCAACACTCAAAAATTGTGAGAGCAAAGTGACAGTTCTCTTGGAGAGAAGTTGCAAATTCTTGCTGGAAAAAATTTTGCCAGCAAGAATTTGCAAACACGAAAAACATGTGGTTGTGGCGCATGGTTGCATTTTTGTCTACAATAATTTGAATAAATTAGTTCGTTAAATTTAAAAATTTATAAACACGAGCGATTTTTGATGAAAAAAGGAAGTAAATAATTGTTGATATAATTAATTTAGTTAATTCCAATGATTTGAACTTAATTCGGCTGAAAAAATGGTATTCACAATCGGAATGCAATTGCAACCAGAGTCGATTTAAGAAACCCGACAGCTAGTACGATGAAGAAATTGAAATGTATGTTAAAGAAAGTCAGAACAACAAGAAATATACATGTATATCCTGTTTTTGTCCATCCGAACGAATTTTAAAAATTCTATAAAAATTTTTTATGTTTGAAATGCAACCGTGGACGCCAGCTGGAAGGGAAACTTGCAAATTCCTGCAAATTTGCGTTCGTGCAGAAATTTGCAAGTTTCTCAACATGAGAGAGAATTTGAGAGAATTTTTTCTTACTCTCTGATATTTTGAGTGTTGGATAATTCTTGCTGGATTTTCGACGAACAAACCTAATAGCTTTCAATTCAAATTTTGACATTTCATTTGCGAGGGTTTTAAATTGCACAGCTTGCCCAGTTTGCGAGAGTTTTGCGCTTTTAAATGAGTACCCTTAATATGCTCGTCGATTGCGATTAAAAATGGTGGGGGATAAGTTTTAAATACTGCCGCATCCTGTGCTGGTTCGATTGGGAACGGGAAAATAACAACTGCAGTATTCCATCAGCGAAAGCTGATTCTTTATCTGCTGAAGCACCACCACCGAAATTTCAATTCTAATGAACTTTAAAGTATTTTTGGTTATTTACATGTGTGAGCTGAGTGTATTTACATACAAAATAAGCAAAAATTTACAACCAAAATTTGGAGGTTATGTTGAAGTTGACAGAAGTTACCATTTTTTACTAGAAAGCGATCCCGTACTTTTCAATGTTACTCTCTCGCTCTGAGCGAATTTTTATTTTTTGACAGTTTTACTAGTCCGAGTCCGAGGAATACGGGATTGCACCTCCAGTAAAATCCAGTAAAAACTTGCAACTTCAACTGTCATTTTTCGCTCTCTCAATTTTCCCTACTTTGCAAGCTTTTGCGTACGAAAACGCCAAAACATGAAAATTCGTAAAAACTTTTACTGGATTTTACTGGAAATGAGTAAAAAAACGCAACTATTATCTGTATGCCCTTTGATGAATCGAAAAATATCGATGTACATTTTGATGCATCGAATCAAAGAAAAACATCGCCACTGACATCCCTACTATGAGTCAAAGCCGTGTTTGTGGAAAAATTATGAAATTTCGACTCTAATCATTTCGGTCTTTCCTGGACCTCATTTGCAAAAAAAAATAAAAAATATTGTACCAGCATGCTGCTATGTTATGTTAGCAATCAAAATATTAACTTAAAACCGTCACGATCTTTCTAGAGCAGATATGGACAAAGTGGCTCCCGGGAGCCTTTTGCACCTAGGAGCCGGCTTGGCATATTTAGGTGCTAGATGAGGGGTAACATCATTACTAATATATATGATGCTTTTAATGTTTTTTACCCGCCCTTTACCCTGAGAACTGATTTACCTCCTGCGAAGCCAAAAATCTGCCTATCCCTGTTCTAGAGGTCGAAAAATTATTTATAAGCAGCGTTAGAATATTATGTTTCCTGTCTACGGTGAACGTTCGCTGTGCAAGTTAGATAAGGGAGGGGGAGTGGGAAATGTTATTTGGAATGTTGTCTATCTAATGTGATTAATTTTTTAAGTTTCCTTCAACATTTTGTCAAATTCGTTTATGGCCGCCTAAATCGTTCAAATACCCCTATGTGGGCTGTTGAAATTTTAGGTCTATGTCATTTAATTTGACTATTGAATGAAAGACTTATTTTGAATTGCATGACCCCACGTTTTTCAGTTTCAATTTCATAAATTGTTTATAGTGACTTACTAAAATTTCAAAAACAAAAATTATCAAAACAACTCCTTTGGGACTTCTATATTTTTTAGTCCATTTGTAGAAGCGAGATATATTAAAAAGTTTATTTTATTTTATTTATTTTTGAATTTGAATAATATTACTTTTAAGCTAAGGTGTGTGAGTAAACGTGTTAGCGGACTGTATGGTGATACGGGACATATACGTTACATACACAACTACTGGTATATTTACGGTGACCATCCGTCATGTATTAACGGGACGGTACTCTTTTTGACCAATTGTTGTGGCAATTAATTTCTTTTATACGGGACGCCAAATGTTCTGTATTTCTTTTAATGTCCTGTATTCGTCGAAATGCCTTAAAAGCTCAAGAAAACAGTTATTATTTTGTAATCTGAATGCCTGTGCTTCGAATCCCAAAATATAAATTAGGATTCTACATTTTAGCAGGGTTCGGCTATTTTTCTTTTGTTCATTAAATGTTTGTTTTTTTTTTTTTTAAGTAAAGCTCTTTTCCTAACAAAAACCATATAAATCCAAATTTACGACTTTGTGCAAAAACTATGAGAATAGATTTTGCAAATTTTCACCAAAATTTCAAACTTCAGAACCTTAGAAAAAAAAATAATTTCATTTATTAAATGTATAACCATTAGTATAATAAGATATAATCTTTTATTAACCGACTTCCAAAAAAGGAGGAGGTTATCAGTTCGTTGGAATATATATTTTTTTTTTTTTTTTTTATGTATGTTACCGCATAACTTTGGACCACGTCAACGGATTTCGATAATTGCATCGGAAAGGTAGTGTCTCAGAGGTGGTCCCATACTAATCTGGTTAAGATCCGATCAGCGGATCATGAGATATATATATATATATATATTTTTATATGAGAGTTGAAGTCGGTTTTTTTTTTGCTAAAAATTACTTGTTTTATAGTACAAATTTGGTTGCAGTTTTGTAGCTCATTAAAATTGAGTATAATAAAGTGCAAACAAGTGCAACCTGCTGCTCATTTGCTTCCTTATCAACAAATTGTCGAACATACTAACTTTGTATGAAAAAAATGCGTAGCACCGTCGACAAAAAAAAATGCCAAAAGTTACCTTGTCCTTGCTATTTAAAACTTGCGCTTTATCGTACTAAAATTTAAAGAAACTTTTGTAAAAAATTTTGTGGAGTAAAAATCTCGAGAAGGATATCCTACAAATTTGTGATGTTACTATAAGGATGATGTTTCAGGGCTAATACATACATCTAAGATCATTTGAGAAGATGTTAAGATCTGTTAGCTTTTATGGAAAAAATTAGCAAAATTATTTTTTGTTCCGTATTCGGCTCGCATAAATATGGTCACCGTAGGTATATGAACTCGAGACGTTCCCACGACAGTCGGGTCTACGTAACCGGAACGACCCAGATTTATATCTGGCCAAGGACTGTCACTCCAGCAACACTCCCCAAAAAGTCTTTACAACAACAACAACAACTCGAGTTATTTTTACTTTTTTTTTGGTAATTGTTTCCTAAGTTTTCATTTATGTATGTATGTAAATACAATTTCGCGATGGAATATTGTTTTTTATGCAAAACTGAAGAAAACAAAACTGACCAAAAAGACATTCTTGTCGAAAAATGTAACAACTCGTGAGATTTGCTTATATCCATTAACAAATTTAGAAAAAATACGTAAATCAATACCGACCATGCAATAATTTCAGTTTTTTTTTTTTCTTACCAAAGTCTCTCCGGTGCAAACTTCTTGCAAATTTTCTGGTTTCACTAGCAAAAGGTTGCACAATGCGTGTAGTATATCAAAAAGTTGTATTACCAGTGGATTTTCCAACTCCCGAATACATTTACGATACTCATTTACATCACAGATGGCACACATAGCACCAGCCGTATTGTATTGCATGGTTTGCAAATGATCGTAGATGACGCGATGAAAGCGCACACCAAACTCATGCAGGACGCTTTGTAAATTGTCACCATCTACACACCGCTTTGCCTGCTTTAGAGCAGGTTGCAAGTTTTGCACAACTTGAAGGCAAGCCTATAAAGAGCAAACCATACATACATATAGTATAAGAAAAAATAAAGCTCGAAAATAATTGGTTTATTATCAAATACAAGTATTTTAACCGATTTTAAGAAATAATGATGTTTTAGTATATTGCAAAGTTAAAATTCAGACAGTTTTTTAACCGACTTGCGTAAAAGGAGCAGGTTATCAGTTCGTCGGAATATTTTTTATTTTTTTATGTATGTTACCGCATAACTTTGGACCACGTCAATCGATAATTCTTTTTGCATCGGAAAGGTAGTGAGTTGAAGCCGGGTTTTTTTTATTAAAATTACTTGTTAAGTAGGTTGTTGATTTAAAATTACCGCAGCTATAGGCATTTGTAGGAACCGAAAATTCTTTTAGGAGAGCTTTACTTGCAAGATTTTTATTTTTTGATCTCTATAATTTGGAGATTCATTCATGGAGATTTTGCTCTTTGATAATTTTTCGATATTTTTTTCATTTTTAACTGTTATTCTTGAGACTAATATAGCTGATATATATAAAGAGATATCTTTATGCAAAATATAATTTTTGTAAGTTAAAAAATGGCTGGAACCACTCCGCTTTTTAGAGAAATTGGTAACCGGTAGTCCAATTCCGGTTTTTTCGAAGACAGTAACCGGTAAAGAAAAACTAAATCAGTTTTGAAATATCCATAATAAAAAAATGGGCGTGATCCCTCCGCTTTTCTCAAAATTGTTAACCGGCCTTAAAAACTCGGGTTTTTTTTTCAAAATTGGTAGCCGGTACAAAAAGACAAACCGATTCCATTTTTGAAATCAACGGGAAGTAATACTTGTGGGGGTAAAATTTCAACAAATTACGGCCACTTTTTGTACATTTTTCCAAAAAATTGTATCACCATATTTATTTTAAAATGTGATTTTAGCCGTTGAAGTCCGCTTTAAATTTGTCTGTACTAGGGGCTCATATGATTTATGGTCACTTACCACCGACGAAATTGTATCCATGTCTGTTTCCGGCTTATAATCTGTTTTCTTTTGTTCGCTTTGTAAATATAGTTTTACCCAACTGATTACAGCGTTAATAGAACGCTCAAGGCCCTGATCTAAAGATTTTTCAATTTGTTCCATGAGCAAACGCCTTTTGAACATATAATCCGAGTACTTCGGGGTATTTCTATAGAATAAAAATTTATATGTTTTTAATTGAAATTCCATTTTTGATTTTAAGTTATTACATTATACAAGGAATGACGGCACTATTCGAGAGTTTTTCAAGCAGATGTACTATAATATTAGTCTTTTGCACCACATCGAAAAAATAAAGTTGCGGAAACGTTTTGCCTTCTGCTATCGGTATCGCTTGTAGGCCAAGCTCCAGAGCATACACTACGTGTTCGTGCATGAGAAAGCGCAGTAAAATGTCATTTAATTTTATCACATTTGTTGGCATTTCAATCGCACTTGAAAGTAAGCGGCATCGTTTAAGCGCAGCCTTCGCCTCCTGTAGCATATTTATTGCTAACTCCTCACATAGAAACGTCTCTCCACCATAATCTTCAATCTGAGCAATATTAATGTTCGCACGTGTGCCAATTAATGCCTGCATATCACGTCTTAACTCTTGAAATCGTTCTGTTGGCTTCTTTTGATGCTTCTTGCTAACATAAAAACGCTCCAATTCGGTTGAGCATTTGGTTGTGAGACACCTTGACTCAATTTCCACATAGTTTGCTAAGTGTTTTGTAAAAATTTGCTGTGTTAACTTTTGCAAAAGATCATCATCCATTACAGACATATAGATTTGTAGATCCGCCGACAATTTTAAAGTACTTTATTGGAGAGATTAATAAATTATTAAGATTAATTTACTGCAAAAGACAGGCTGCTATAAAACTAACTTAAATAAAGAATAGAAATACAAACCTCTGAAAAAAATAGCTATTCACATATGCATATAAAAAATGGGCATGCCATGAAAAGGCTGCGTTAATTTAAATCAGTGCCAGGCAATTAGTACCCTTGGGGTACTATGTGTGTTATATGTGCATGTTGCCTATTGCTGGTGATGCTGTATTTTCAAATTCATGCGTTCCTGTTCCTACGTCTGGTTTGCTCACATCGCCGCTGCCTTCAAACGCTGTTACACAGCATTCTACGGATGAGTGGAAAACGGTTCGCAACAAGAAATCAAATAGATATAAAAATATTGCTGTGGGCAGTAATACTAACTGCGACCTCGACGTTGTAATTAAAAAGAAGTGGTTACACATCTCTTCGTTCAAACCATCCGTGACTGAAGATAAAATAATTTCATATGTTGCTAATCAGTCAGGCGTTGACAGTCAACACCTGGCTTGCTACAAGCTGGTTAAAAAGGGTGCTTCTGTCGATAGTTTGCGTAGCCTTAACTTTAAATTTGGCGTTTCACCAGCATTCTACAACCAAATTGCGAATCCAGCGGTCTGGCCGACTAACATAAAAGTAAGACCGTTCCGCTTTTTTCAAAAACTGGACAACTCGGAAGCGAACCACTAGCCCAAATCGCAGCTGCAATGATAATAATCTGAAAATCTACTACCAAAATATATCTGGTATTCGAACTAAATGTGCAAAGGTTCGCATGTTAACTGCTCATTTGGAATATGACGTATACGTTTTTGTGGAATCATGGCTTAACGACAGCTTTTTTGATTGCGAAATCTTTGATTCTGACCTTTTCGACATTTTTCGCAAAGACCGTGATGCTGAGAAGACGGGATGTTCTAGAGGCGGTGGTGTTCTCATAGCGGCTCAACGGAGATTCAAAGCTTCACAAGTAACGCTCACCAATTCTGACTCGCTCCTTGATCAGCTTTGCGTCTGTATTCACAGCTCCTCCGGCGATATCCTTTACATATGTGCGTCATACATCCCGCCGAATAGCTCTGAAAGCCTTTACGTTGCACATGCTGATAACATCGTATCATTGGCGTCTGATGTCGTTGGTAATAATCACATTTGTGTTCTTGGTGATTTCAACTTTAGCCGGTTGAACTGGACTCCAAGTGGGGATTCTGCTGCTCTTATAGCTGCAAACGTGAGCTCTCCAACAGAAATTTATATCGTTGATAGCTTTTCAAGTATTGGATTACAGCAAGTTAACTGTATTTATAACCAACTAAATAGACTATTGGATCTTGCTTTTATCAGTGACAATGTAAACTTCACGTTATCGGAATGTATGTCTCCCATCTCTCCGGCTATAATGCATCATGTGCCTCTCGCTCTTGAGCTGGAGTTTTATAACTTTGATTCATTGCCGGAAGATCGCAGTATTAATTTTAACTATAAAGCGAGTGATTTTTCTTCCTTAAATGATGCCCTATCGGATATAGATTGGAGTTATACTTTCCGTGGCAGTGATGTAACCTCTTGTTACCGTATTTTTAAGACCACCCTCTATGAGCTATGCCTACAGTACATCCCTATTCTTAAGAAGAAGGTGTACAAACTACCGTGGTACACGAAGCGTTTAAAGCATCTAAAAAATTTAAAAAACAAATTTAGCAAATTGTATAAATCCTCAAACGACTCCGCGCATCTTCTTAAGTTCCGGTACTTTCTAAAAGAATTTAATTGTTTGAACAAATTTTTATACCGAAATTATATTTTAAACTTTGAAGCTAATATTATCTCGAATCCCAAATCTTTCTGGCGTTTCATTGATTCCCGAAAATCTTGCTCATCAATTCCCACAAATGTTTTCTACAATGGTCGCACCGCAAATTCAGCCTCTGACTCGGCAAACCTATTCGCTGAGTTTTTTTGCGCTAACTTTATCAATGACATGGACTCGAATATAATGGGTTCTAGCTCCTCTAGTGACTCTTCGCTGAATTTTGGTTCGCTAACCATTTCAACCGAGGACGTTATCAAAGGAATTGGTGATCTTAAGCCATCTTCACAAAGCGATGTAGAGGGTTTCTCGGCTTTTCTGTTGAAAAACTGTCTATGTTTAGCTGAGCCTCTTACTGCAATCTTCAATCACTCTCTGGCCTCGGGCATATTTGTGGACGACTGGAAACAAACGTCTGTAACCCCTATCTTTAAAAGTGGGAACAAAAATGATGTCCGCAACTACAGACCGATATCAAAGCTATCTTCAGTCTCCAAATTATTTGAGATTGTTGTAAGCTGTAAACTGTCTTTTGCTGTTAAAAACCTAATTTCTACTAATCAGCATGGGTTCGTCGCTAACCGCTCAACAGTCACAAACTTGGCTATTTTCAGTGATTACTGCTTATCTGCTTTTGAAAACAAAGCTCAGGTGGATACCATCTACACTGACTTCTCGAAAGCTTTCGACAAAGTATCACATCGTTTACTTCTGCTGAAACTGATCTCTTTTGGATTTCATTCGACATTTTTGTCTTGGGTTAAATCCTACTTAACTGATAGGCGCTGCTTTGTAGTAATCGATAATGCAACCTCACAACCGTTCATCGCGTCCTCGGGTGTCCCTCAAGGCGGCATTCTCGGTCCCCTATTTTTTGTGCTTTTCATCAACGATATCAGTTCTTGTTTCAAATTTGCTAATTACCTACTTTATGCTGATGACCTTAAAATATTTGCAACTATCAAAAACCTTTATGACTCAGCCAACCTGCAATCGGACCTGAACAGAGTTCATGAATGGTGCTGCAAAAATCAGTTGACGCTAAATATCGGCAAATGCTTTCATGAATCTTACAGTAGACATCTCAATACTTTGCATACATCATATTCTATCTCTGGCTCTGTTTTGCAATCTGTGACCCAAATGAAGGACCTTGATGTTGTCTTTGACTCCAAACTCGCATTCAATAGTCATGTCGATTACATCCTCTCGCGCTCATACTCGATGTTAGCTTTTATCCGCCGAAACTGTCAGGCGTTTACGAACCCTTACACTCTTAAAACTCTGTTTTGTGCACTAGTCAGGTCAAGACTGGAGTATGCAACGTTTATTTGGAGGCCTTACACTAAAATTCTAGCTAACCGATTAGAACGTGTTCAAAAAGTTTTCATAAAATTTGCTCTCCGTCCATTAAATTTTTCTTTACCACTTCCTTAATACTATTCTCGCTGCCAACTAATCAACCTTACAACACTGGATAACAGAAGATCCATTTTAGCGTGCACGTTTGTCGTTAACATCATAACTGGCTCAATTGACTGCCCTTCTCTTCTAGAAAAGATTGCATTTAATATTCCCTCTAGAATCCTCCGCCATTGGGATTTCTTTAAAATAGGTTTCTCTAGAAGCAGTTTTGGTGCCAACGCTCCGATCTCTAGAACGTGTGCTGAACTTAACCTAGTCTTCAACGCTTTGGACATTGATTTCTCACAATCAGGCCCTGCCTTGGTTACTCATCTGCGAACATTTTTCTCTGCGCTATACCACTAGCGATGTATTTATTCTTAGCTCTTGTGAACTTAATGTATTTAAAATTTATCTTAATTTTTAAGTTTTAGTAGCACTTAATTAGTGTTAGCTGAGTAGTCTGTAAGAATATTCTGTATTCCAAGACTGAAATAAATAAATAAATAAATAAATATTTTGCCTGGCATTGATTTAGTTCTACACCGTGGCTGAATAGATTCCTATTTCATGAGTGACAACTTACCGCGAATACAATTCATATAGTGTTCGTAGGTATTTTTCCTCATCCCTCTTATCATCCAATTTAGTTAACGCATACTGATGCAACTTCAATTGGTATATATTGAGTATAAACTTCGACATCACTTGAGCTGGATTGGCAAAGACTTTTTTGATAATCTCATTATGATGCTTGCACATGGGTGCTATTCCGATAAATATATCCTTTCCCCCATAGGGAGTCTGTTGGCGAATTAATAATAATATTGTTAAAAATACTGTATATAGAAACGGATTATTCGTACAACCATTTGACTTTGTTCGATGTATGCATCAATACACTGAGTGAAGCCCTTAAATTGAGATAAAATCTGCGCTAACTTTTTCATTTTCTCAATGTCTTCACACTTTTGTGCTGTGGCAAACTCTTCAATCAGACGACGTTCAACATCGTCATACATTTTTTCGATTTTTCGCTTCGATTCAGCAAACTTTTCGATCGGCAAATCTTGTGATATGGTATAAAGTTTTTGAATTACATCAGCAGCTTCGTATAGACGTGTTGGATCGGTGAAAATATCGTTGAGTATTGGACCAGGCACCAGGAACTCAGACATATGATTTAGCAATTTTTGTGCTTCTACAGTCCGGCTACGTGGTGTATTAACATTTTCAAGCTGCTCGCCAAGGTGTATAATTTTACCTGCAACAGAATTTATCTTCTCATCTAGTTGCCCAAACCAGTCGATTGCAACTTGATGACGCTCCTGCAGCTTACATATTTGTTTGTTGTGTGTTGCTTGTTCTTGGCGCAGTGATTCTTCGAGCCGTTCACACTTTGTCTGCTGTTTTTCTTGCAAAATCTTCATATCCTTTATGGTTTGAATAAAAGTATCATGTAGTGCTACGGGATTGAAGTCGTCTGCATTTTTGCCACTAATTCCAACTTCGTTATTAATGCGCCATGTAAGTCGTTCAATGAATTCCGACACTTCAAAAGGTTCCTATGGATTGCATTAGTTAATTAACGTTTTAAAGCTGAGAAAGTATTTATTACCTGTTCAAACTCGTCCATATATTGGGCCAGCATAATTACTTTTTAATGCTTTCTTTACTAAAACAGCAATAAAAAACAGTTCACTTCTGCCGATTTCTCATTACGCCCTTTTTATTGGGATTGTGTAGACGGCCTAATCATTTAAGTTGAAATTAGTCAAGAACGCAAAACCTACCAGTACGTAAACCCGAGTCAGCTGACACGATCTACCGTACCAGGGCGCAGAAATCAAGGTGTATTTAACAAAAAGGTGTTAGCCGTAAATAAGTAAAAAATTACACTAACAAATCATACGCAGATATCCATACTGTCATTGGTATGAGTTACATGAGTTTTTTGCATGAACCAAAAAGACAAGATCACGCGGGCAGGAGACTAGCCCGTTAGAATCGCATTTAGGAAAAAAGTGTAACGATTTTGACATTAGCCGTTTGTTTACATTTCTTCGTTGTTTACAATTTGGTGGTGGCTTTTTACTGCAATTTTCTTCATTTTCGCTTGTGACAACGTGTGTACACATAAGATAAAGAATAATTTAACACAACGGCATGATTTATAGAAGAATTTGCATAATAAAAATGATTTTTCATGCGTTCAACAATTTCGCGGTTTTCTCCGTTCTCTTCGTTGTTTACTTCTTACAACAAAGATGGCGTCGAGATTTCGGCAGCTAGAAAATAACTTTTTTCGTTCTTTCCTTCCCGCGTGATCTTGTGTCTTTCGTTCATGAGTTTTTTGTCGAAAAATAAGAGGTTTATATTTAGCTAGCATCTACTATAGCACGAAAAATTGTAGTTGAAGAGGTAAGTTTATGAAAATGTATTGATGTGTGGCATCACTGTAGTAAGCAACACTGAGGGCTCCGCTATCAACAAAATTCTACGTATACAGATAGCGTTTATGTATAAGTTCTGCATTCTTGACTAATTTCACCTTTAATATCAGCTGATCGGCGCTGCCAGATTATTTAATAAAAACGTAACACTGGCATAACATGGACGTTACACAATCAAGAGCTTGCTTTCAAGTTGCAATACACTCCTAACTACAACGTTACAAGATCAAGAACTTGCTCTCAACCCATTAAAAACCCTATCTGTTACCCTATGCGTTATATACGCCTACCCAGTAACCCTATTTGTTAACTAATGCGTTATATATGCCTAGTACCATGATAAAAAAATAGCAAGGTATAACCGTTCTCTCAATTTGTCGGCCATGATTTTTTTTTGAAGTTTGCCAACATTTTAAAATCATATAAAAGTGAAAATAAAAAATTGAAATTGTACGAAATTGTTGTTGCTTTAGATTGAAAATGAAAATGTGTGAGTGAGTTTGTGAGTAAATTTAAAAATTAAATTGTTTGGAAACGTCAAGAATTTTAAAAGTGACTCTCAGCGGTTCTACCTTACTATATTTTTATCATGCCTAGTACCTACTACAAAAAGTTTGTGAGAGAAATTCAAAAACTTTCCCTCATTTTTCCTTGTCGGCTCCGCAGGTGTTGACGGCTTTGGACTTGCGAACTTTCTTCCTGGCTCGTAATTTGTTGCAGTTGGCTGATACGTGCGCAGAGAAGAAATGTTTCTAGCAGAGCGGAAATTTGATAGATCGTTGCTATTATCGTATAATCGTAAGCGTAGCTTACCAAGGTGACTCCAACAGGCGGCGGAGGGAGTTTTATCATGTAGAGATTAATTAAACAGCGTCGGGGAGAGTACGCCGGCTTGACGGACCGGCGACGAGTCCAGAACGGGTGGCGAATACCTCCGCCAGGTCAACTGCCACTAGGACCGATCTATCCCAAGGTCGACGTTTGTTCAGACCTCAGTATATCCGATATGATATACTGAGGTTCAGACTCTCGCTAATCTGTGTAGGGATGGTGTTCAATTATGTGGTGGTGATGTGCATTTTTCGGAATCCACATTGGTATTGGCTATCTTGAGGTGCTTCGTCATGCTGAAAATGAGTGGTACTTCCAAAGTTTTTTCCACTAGGGTTGTGAGGAAGGGATATGTCCGCTTTCTTCTCTGATTTACATACTTACATACATACATGTTACAAGCACACGAACCTTCTTAAAATAAACACAATAGATTACTTTACTTTGAGTCGCGTATTGCAATTATATTAATGTTTATTAGGTATTGTTATCCTCTTTATCTTTGTTATTGTTGCAAATGTACATGCGGATGCATATGACTGCCTTTTCCACTTGATGAATCATAGTTTTGTGCCTTAGGTGAGGCTTGCAAAGTTGACGCCACTGCTGCTGCTGCCGCTGCAGAACTTGTACTCGCTACAATGTTAATGGCACTAGCCACAGCGGTTGTAGAAGCTGTCATTGCAGAGCTAGCCAAATCCGGTGCTGGGAAGCGCCTGCCTTCAATAATGTTTGCACTACTCTTCACAGCCACAGTGGGAATTCCATTTCCCCCACCACCGCCGCTTATCTCCAGTGTAGGTGTTTCAACTAATTGCTGCAAATTCCGAAGTTCTGTGGAACGTAAACTTGCAGAAAGACTTTCACTCGAAGCCAAAGAAGTCGACAGCGGCGAATTTCGATCCATAGATGAAGCAACATCTATAAAATTTGAGTTTTAACTTATTTAACAAAAATTCGAAATTTTCGTCATCTTACCGGTCTTATCGGTATCTGGCGAACAAGCAGTTAAAAATACACCGCCTTGTGGTTTAAATACAGACATCATTAGTTTTTCCTCCATTTGCATTATAATGGTTTTCTGTACATCATATTTCTTGTTGAGCGACTGTATAAAAGAAAAGCAATAAAATTTGCATTAGTTCAGCAGTGGGAACTATGTACACACTAAGTACAATTACAAATGCAAATACCCAGCAATAGAAAAGGGTGAATGCCAAACATAACATTTTACTGCTTGCTGGTAATTATAATAATAATAATAATAATAAGAATAATAGATTGGCGCTTACACATACATATGTGTGTTTGGCCGAGCTTCTCCTCCGACTTGTGGCGTGCGCCTTGACGTTGTCACACAAAGCGGAGGGACCTGCAGTTTTACGCCGACTCCGAACGCCGATTATATTTTTAGGAGAAGCTGTTTTTCATGGCAGAAATACACTCGGAAGTTTGCCATTGCCTGCCGAGGGACGACCGCTGTTAAGAAAAAACCTTTTTTCTATATTTTTTTTGCGATGTTGCTTTGGACCAGCCGTTGAACCCAAGTTCTGATGAGTGAAAGCGCGCACTGCTTACCACTACACCACAGCGGCCGAGCGGTAATTATTATACTTATTTTAAATTCTTTTGCAAATACTTATTCGCAATATGATTCATTCTATAACGAGTTAGGCGCAAGAATAAAAGTTGTAGTGATTGCTGCCAGCAAAAGATTTTTTTTTTTTAACAAAAAGAACAATTTCATACAGAAAAACATAAAAAATTATAATTTAAAAAACTAAAACCTCGCTATTATAATTTCCATTCGTACTGTCATCAGGTATGTAACTTAAGAATAGAAATCTCTGCATCTTTTAGGCGCATCAATATTACATAGTTACATCCCGAGCTAATAAAAGGGAGGTAATAAAAAAGGAGGGCAACTGCAGAGCCAGTGCTCGCATGGGAATGTATCTCCCTATTTGCTTTGCTTCCGAGCTCTATTTTAAACTTATTCTCAAAAACAACTACCTGGGAATCTGCTGTTGTTGTAACAGCATACAAAGTTTTTGGGGAGTGTTGCTAGAGTGACAGTCTTTGGCCAGATATAAATCTGGGTCGTTCCGGTTACGTAGACCCGACTATCGTGGGAACGGGATACCGAATGTTGTTGTTGTTGTTGTAGTAGCATACAAGTTCCCCAAAGAGTTTGTGGGGAATGTTGCTGGAGTGACAGTCCTTGGCCAAATATATGTCTGGGTCCTTCCGGTTACGTAGACCCGACAGTCGTGGGAACGCGGAATACCGAATTGTAAGGTTTGGTTACCTAAGCAAGATTAGATCGCCGTAACAACAGCCCTTCTGTGAGATTATAACCCTTACTACTCAGAATTCTCGTTTCTGTGTTGCCGGAGAATGGGTCAGAACTTCTATTGGCGTAATTTTTACCGTGGATCCACGGTAAAAGTTACTGTGGCGTGTGTAAGTAGACACTCCCTAAAATCTTAGTAATGAATGTTTATAGCGATTTGTTAAATACGAAAAAAAAGTTCATAAAAACCTTGAAAACTTCCTCATATTCATCCTTCACTGCTTTGAGTAGGCGCTTTTGTTCTGTGATAACTTTTTCGCTAGTCTGGAGCTGTGCTTGTAGTTCGTTGATTTTATGTTTTGCACTATCCAATTGCGAAGTTTTTTCTTCTAAAACGTGACGCAAATCTAAGACAAACCAAATTTTTTTCAGTTGGCATCAAACAGTAGCTTCATGCGAAACCCGTACGTCTAGTAAAATATTTGGTTTTATACTTAAAATTGTTTAGGTAAAAGAAAACCAAATTTGCTCATTTTAATCATTTTCAAAACCCACAGTAAAGAACGATGAAGGATCAGCAATGGTGTACGTTTTCTTGTTTCCTCAGGCGAATTGTACTTTATTGTGGGTATAATGAATCATTTAGCCAATCCAAACACTTTGCAAATGGTAAAAAAGAAATACTAGTTTTAAAAATTCTGCACTCTTTAGATATTGTACGAGTTGGCTTTGGGGGCGAATTAAATTGTTTTCTTTTTTCTCTTATAAAAAGCTGAACTGAGTTAAATTTTTAAACAACTTTTTTTTCCGATGATATACAATAACCAATAAATTTTAAGCAGCTGTAAGAGTTTCGCTTGGAGTTTTTATAAATTCACGTATTCCTATATTGTGAATTGTAAGTCGGCTTACCTTTAAACTCTTTACTGCAGTTACTTTGGAACATATGGAATTCCTCATCGCGTGCTTTGAAATTATCTATTTCTGAAAGTCGGTCGCGGCACTTAATTTGCACCTCACCCATAATAATGAATTCTGCTTCCAAACGTGCTAATTCTTGCTTACATTGTAGTCCTATATCTGCTTGTTGTTGTGCCAACTGCAATTCTGAAGTTAGATTAAAGACATGACCGCGCAAGGCCTCTAACTCGTACGTGTCGCCTTTTCGATTAGCTAACTCTTCGTTTAGACGAACTTGTAATTTATCGTTGGCCTGCCGAAGGCACTTGTTTTGCTCTATTTCACTTTGGTATTTAAACTTGATCTGGGTCAATTCATCTATGTAGAGCTGCTCACGCTCATTGTGCAATTTGGTGTTATTTTCGATTTGTTGCAGTAGTTCTTTGTTCCTAGCGGTAATACTTTTAACTTGTTCACGCAAGCGATCACGTTCCATTTCAACACTGCGCTTATCGCGACTTCGTCCCATTAGACGTCTGTTTCTTTCCGCGTGCATTTCACGACGATGTCGCTCGTATTGCAATTGTAAATAGAGCAGTTGAAATTGTTCCTATAAAAATGAGTAAAAAGCTTATCTACAGTATTCTTCCATGTGTAACAAATTACATCCATACCTGATCCAGTCGGCCCCCTATATCATTTCCGTCTTTTGATCGGGAATTGCGTGAAACATACAGATCTAGTAGCTCTTGTGGATACAGCTGATTCCTTTCATGCACGTTACGTAAATTCACACTCTCAAGCAACATTTGAAACAAAGAGTTTTCGTAATTTTGTGAAATATTTTCAACGGTCTGCGTTGAAGCATGATTGAACGAATTGACCATTGCACCGCCATCAAGCAATTGTTTCTTAGCAGTTGCAATAGCTAACATTTTTCCGCTTTTTTGCAAACGATGCTGCAATATGGTTAAATTCTTCGCGTTCGTCTTTGCAACGTTATTAGCAATTCCGTCGTCACTGTCATCTTGAATCTGTTCTGTGCCCGTTTTTGACGTTAACAAATTTATTGCTGAACATGACTTTGTTCGCCGAACATTCCTCATATCGGTTTCAACAGCCTCCATTTCTCCAGCATGTTTTTTGTTCAATCTTACTCTCATACAACTTGAATCATTGTAACAGTCGCTGACCATACGGCTACGACGCTTAAGGCCTTTTACTAATAAAAGTTGCATGGACCGGCTGGTTGGAATTTGCAGCCCACCCTCAGTACACATAGATCGATCGGTTTCATTGCAATCATTGCAAACTTTTGTAATATTTTCCAGTGCCGATAATGTTGATGTTGAAAGTGGCGCCATAGATCCTGACTGCGCGGTAAAATTTGGTGTTGGTGTTACAGAAGGAGTTAATGCTTGTGTCGGTGTTGGAGTAGGTGTAGGCGTCGGCACAGTTGACGACAGCATGTGATTGCTGTTTGTCATGCAACTTAAATCTGCATCGGGTGTTCCACATTTAGCTGAAAGAAATAGCAATAACGAAAATTAAACAACTCCGCTCTTTTTTTAAATACTTACAGTTGATTTCGTTGGGTGAACGAAAAGAATTTTGCTGTTTGGTCATCATTGCCTCAATCGTTTGAAATGGGCTATGTGATCGGCTACGATCATGCACAATCTGTTGTAATCTGCGATCGTATGTTGTAGATACGCGTGTCACCACCCGTGTATTTACTTCTTGCTCAAACAGCGTCGTTGTTGCTGTTACAGCTCCGCCATCTGCTGCCATATCGGAGAAATTGAATTGATTTTGATTCTCTTTGCGTAAAGGCGAAGAAGGTTGACTAGCAAAAATGGCACGCACTGCATGAGGATTCGTCATATGCTGTTTATGCTCTTTTAAGTCTTTCATAGGAGTTGTCTCCGGCGTTGCTTCTACAGCGGCTTCAGGCGGAGATGAACCTGTAAGACCCGCAACTTGATTGGAGATGCTGGAAACGAAGGCACCCGCAGGCGGTAATGGTAGCATATAACAAGGTGTAGGTGTTAATGGCATTTGTCCGGATGCTGTTATTTCATTGTAAGGGCTCCAAATAGCACCACTCATGTTTCTATTTGCATCAAAGTCATGTTGCCACATTGGGCCATTACTGCCTCGTATGTGATATTGCTGCTGCTGGTCCCTTATATGCTCAGCGGTGTAGTAAACCTTATCTGACTTGTAGGCCGAGTTGTAATCATTGCTTC